TTTTCTTTTGGACTCTTCCTCCCCCGCTGACCTTTCTTTCTGCGAATTGGCCATTAATCCTTGACATGAAAGTGCGTGTCCCCCGAGTACCTCGACATGCAGCCGTTCCAGACAGTTCGGCACTTCCTAAAAAGGGGAAACAGAGTTACCGTCCAAACCAGCAAGTCTACCCCTGTGAGCACAACCCAAGACAGAGGACAACCGACATCCACAGAAACGCTTGCCTGGGAGTGTGCACAGCAGCACCGCTCACAGCAGCCAAAAAGGAGAGTCAACGCAAATGTCCCTCGGTGATGACTGGGTATGTAAAATGTGGTATACCAATACAGCAGAATATTACTCAGCCATAAAAAGGAACGACGCATTGATTCACACGACAGCACAGATGAACCTTGGACACGTACTAAGTACATGAAGCCAAATGCAAGAAACAACAGTGTACTCCACTTATACAAAATGCCCAGAAGAGGCAAATCCAGAGAAATAGAAAGTAAGTTATTAGTTGCTTAGTGCTGGGGGTTTGGGAGGAAATGGGTAATGGGTATGGTGGGTTTTTGGGGGAGCAGGGATGGAAACATCTGGAACTGACTGGGAGGATTCTGTCAACCTGCTAAAGACCACTGCAATGTATACTTTAAATGAACGAGTTATACGGTGTAGGAGTTCTACCTCAATAAGGCTGTTCAATTTTTTAAAAAGCAGTATGTCCGGGGCGCCTGGGTGCCTCAGTGGTTAAAGCCTCTGCCTTCGGCTCAGGTCATGATCTCAGGGTCCTGGGATCGAGTCCCGCATCGGGCTCTCTGCTCAGCAGGGAGCCTGCCTCCTCCTCCTGTATCTCTCTGCCTGCCTTTCTGCCTACTTGTGATCTGTCAAATAAATTTAAAAAAAAAAATCTTTAAAAAAAAATAAATAAAAGCAGTACGTCCTCACATTGTCACGTCAGGAATCTGAGAAGAACCTACCGATGGATGTGGACTTTCTCTTGCTTCCGTCCCCCTGTCCCTCACTCATGAAAAATCCCTAGATGCGAGTACATAAAAGCTTCATCAGACATCAGGAGAGTCCCAGACAGATTCCTGTCCACTCATCAGCCCCTCAGAGGGCAAGAAGCCCCAGGGGAATGCTGTACGAGACTATCACTAATACACAGATAGTGGGTCAGGTGCACAGCTCAAATATTTCCTTCCCTCCACACCTCATCTTGGCCTTTGACCCCTCCCTTGCCACAGTCCCTCTTGTCCCCTCCCCCTCCCTTCTCAAGCTGTTTTGACTCCTTTCTTGATCAAGGGTGGAAGGCAGCGTTTCAAGATGGCGCCCGCAACCTTCACTCCCTGGCGTTACTCCCATGTTCTGTGGTAAAATGGAGATCGTCTGGATAAAATTCCTCAAATGACCACTCGCCCTCTTATCAGTCCTGGTCTGTGGTGGGAGCTATCTCAACGTCCAAATGTTAGAAGTTCCAGAGAGGGAAAGCACATGGCCCTCAGTGTGGGAGAAGGGGGAGAGAAGCCTGGAAGGGTCCAGAGCGCCTCCAGCTTGCACAGAAGATGTGGGACCCCGGCCTGGAGTCTGGGAAGGGACAGGGAGGGTAAGATCAGGTGGGTGGATGAGGGGGGGTGTCCTGATCTCAAGGGCCAACAACTAATCCCACAGAAGCATGGACTGTCCAGCTACTTGAGAGAGAGAGAAGTCGCTCCGAGAATCCTTCAACTTTCTGTTCGAATCCCGTCCTCAGCTTTTGGGCCATCAGGGGCTGTGTGTGTGGTGTGGCCTTACACATGACAGACGTGAGGATGTCCGTCTGCCTGGCTGTGTGCAGGCTGGGCTCCTTCTTGTTCCCCTCCTCCCCTCCTTTCCATCTGGAAGAGCTAACAGGTCCCACAGGAATGGTGTGTTCTAACCCAGAGAGGGAGTCTTCGAAGGTCTCCCTTCCTCTTGCCTCCCTTTACCCATAAAACACCCAGAACCCTACTTCCTGCCTTTGCTGACGAGAACCACTCATCTCGGGAACAAATCCGTTCTTTCTGCCTCAACGAGCTCTTGTCTTTTCTTGCTGCAAACGCTCTAATCGGGCCCTTCACTCCATCTTTTTCTTGGAAGGTGGCCTCCTGCGTCTGGGAGCCCAAATCTGCCCTAACCACAGTCTCGGGCTTCTTTCTGTGGGTCCTGGGCACAGGGTGGATGTGCTGACGGGCTGGGGGAAGGCGTGGGGGTCTGTCTGCGGCCGCTGCTCTCTGCTGCTCCTCAGTGAGAGGTTCTGGGGGAACCCGGGGCATTTCTGCCCCTGTCTGTGGGCTGGGGAAGGAGTCTGCGGATTTGTGGCTTTGCCTGGAATCAAGAAATCTGCCTAGACTCACAGAATTTCTTCTTCCCGGCGAGGGCTGGGCCCCTTTGGAACCCTTGAAAAGTGCCGCAGTATCAGAGTGACTTAGCCACACATGTGTGAACACGTGTGGGGTGAGATAAAGCCTGTGTGTGATCTCAGGGATTCTAAGTGTGACTCTATTTACAGCCCCCCCACCTTGTCAGTCAAGCAGGAAATCTGACACTCCAAGGGTAAGGAGTGGGAGGGCCAGGAGGGAGGGAGAGGAGGAGGGAGGGGAGTATAAGGGGAGAGGGAGGGAGAGGGAGGAGGAGAGGGAGGAGGAGAAAGGAAGGGGGAGAGGGAGGAGGAGAAAGGAAGGGGGAGAGGGAGGGGAGTGGGAGAAATGAAGCAGAGAGGGGGCAAAAGGGAGGGGAGGGGGGGAAGGGGAGGAGAGGAGAGGGTGGGGGGATGGAGGGGGTAGGGGACGGAGAGAGAAGAAGAGAGGGGAGGAGGGGGATAGAGGGGAAGGGAGGTGAAAGGGAGGTGAGAGGAAGGTGAGAGGGAGGTGAGGGGGAGGGGATGGAGAGGGATGGGGGGAAGAGGGAAGATAAAGAGGTAGGGAGGGCTGGAGGGGCAGGGAGAAGGAGGGCCTTGGCCAGGACTGAGGGCTTCCAGGCCCGCCCAGGAAGCCCGCCCAGGAAGCCGGTTCAGTGCTGGAAGTCTGGACATCTCAACCCCCACCTTAGGGACACAGCAGAAAGGGGGTTTGTGTGTTGGGGAACCCTGTGTCCCACACCCTCTCCCACCCCAGGACCCTCGAAGGGGAGGGGAGGTAGTTTAGAGACACACCCTTCCCCCCCCACCAAACCTGTTTCTGGCTGCCCTGACTTCCATCTCCTTCCAGTGAGAGTCTCGACACCCCCCTTCCCCAGAGCAGCACTCGGGGACCTCGCCCTCCTGCCCTCCCGGCTTTCCAGGATGGCCCCTGCCTCTGGCCCCTTCCAGAGAGAAGTCCCTTGGGCCAGGAACGCCACCTCCGCGGCCCTCACCTGTGCCGCAGGGGCGGCTTGAGGTAGGACTGCCCTGTAGTTCCGAGTTTCTTTTTTGGGTGTTTCAGGTGAGGGGGCGCGGGGGGTCCTGGCGAGACTCTGTGGGACGTTTGGGGGGCCCTGGAGTGAAGCCCACACCCAGCCACGTGAGGCTGGGACTGAGGCACCCTGGGGGGGGGGCCCTCCAGCCTCGCCCACCCGAGCCTGGGCCACCGGAAGCACCTGTAGGGCTGATTAAAAAAACGGGGGGGGGGGGTCTGGGCCCCACCCTGGGGCGGGGCCTGGAAATTTGCATTTCTAATCAGCTCCACCTGCCGTGGCTGCGGCTGGTCCGGGAGCGCACCTGCCCCTTTAAGTTGGTGCAGACAAAGCCAGGGCTACCTGCCGCCCCCAGCGGGATCCCCCCCAACCCCCGCAGGGAGGCTGCCCCAGTGCTCCCGGCGGGAATCCCGCAGGCCCCCTGGATTCCTCATTCCGTCCTGCTCCGCCACAGGCTTTGGAGGGGAAGCAACCGTGCTCCCGCCTGGCAGAGGGAGCCCCGGCCCAGGGCTGGCAGACCTACTGTGCATCCTGACCTCGTCATCTGTAGCCAGCGCCCCTGAGCAGGCACGCTGCTCCCGGAGACAGGGACAGTGGAGCCCCGTGGGGTTTGCACCCGGATGATGTGTGCGCGAATATACGTTTAAGAAATGCTCGTTTGTTCTTTTTTTTTGTTTGTGGTGTTTTTTTGTTTGTTTGTTTGGTTTTTTCTTTGTTTTGTTTTTTTGTTTTTTTGGTCTGGTCTCTGATCCGACCTGATAATTTGGAGCATTTGACCCTGAGTGTGAAACTTTCCATTTATCTCTACTCAGTTCTGCTAGTTTCTTTTTTCCTTTAAGATTTTATTTGTTTATTTGAGAGAGACAGAGATTCCGAGGTGGGGGAGGAGAGGGAGAAGCAGACTTCCCGCTGAGCAGCAAGTCTGACCTGGGTGGATCCCAAGATCTTGGGATCACGACCTGAGCCAGCAGACGCTTAAGGCTTAATGACCGGACCACCCAGGTGCCCCGAGTTCTGCTGGTTTCCAACCATCATTCCCGCCGGCTGAGAGATGCGTCCTTCCCGGCCTGCTGCCTAGTCCCATGTTAGCGTGGCTGGTACCACAATGCGTGTTGTAGGGTCCCAGCAGGCAGGGGAGCAGGGCTTGGCCCCTAGGTTGGGGACAGTCCTTGACTCACCACCTACGGAACTCTGACTTGGGAAGCTGCCCCAGTGTGAGTCTTTGAACCCCACTTAGGAACCCCCAACTTAAAAAAATTTTTTTTGAAGTGATAGAGGAAAGAAGGGTCCTGGGTACTCACCCCACTGCTGGTCTGTTTCTCTGTGCAAGTCCAAAGCCTCCGACATGTCAGGCCTGAGACTTGTTTTCTAGTCCCTGGGCCGCCCAAGTGACCAGCTTCAAGAGGGGATGTTTTTCTCCCCCCGCAGTGGGCCATCTTCTCCGTGAATAAGCGAAAAAAGAGGCAGAACTTAGAAACACCTTACAGAATTTAATGTTTTCAGGGAGGGGAGGGACTGAGGCCCGAGGTGGGGAAATGGCAGGATGTTCAACAGCACAAAGGCACAGGGGTCCCAGATGGCTGAACTGGGCTGACGGGACTGCGAGCTCACCGGAAACCTATCCTCTCTCAGTCTCCGCCTCAGAACGTTCTGGAACCGCGGCTGCTTCTTAAACCCGGACTTGCTGCTGTTCCTTCTTCCTCACCTCTGCCCAGATGTCCGTCAGATCCTGAATGAACTGCTGGATCTAACAAGGCCAAGGGACCCGAGTTAGCCCACCTAGCACCAGGCCACCCTGTCCTCACACGTAGCACATCTGGACATAACCTGGAAGGAGCCACTGCCCTCCTGGGACTGACTTCTTGAGGCTTTAACCTTCCCTAACTTGACAATCATTTTAGTTGAAGCAACGGGCCTAGCAGACCAGTAGGCACAGACAGGGAGCTCCTGGGGACTGACACGGTGACAGCAGGAAAAAGAACCGTGGACAGTCTGGTGGAGGGGAGAGGTGAGGGGACGCTGAGCTGACCCAGGCACTAGAAGCCTAGAAGCCTCTGGAAGGTGGGGGCCAGCAGTGTTGGGGGAAACAGCTCCCCACAATGTAATAGCCTTCAAGCAAGGCATGTACTTGGAACCCAGAACTGATGCCCATCATGACAATCCTGAGTCACGGAGGGAAGCCAGAATTCTGTTCACCAGCTTCGGTTTCAAAGAACATGGGCTCTAGGCGCCACGTGGGGACCTGGTCTCGTGACGCGGCTCTGGGGAAATCAGTTCATTGTTCTGCGACTCAGCTTCTTTATCTTGAGAAGGGCTGGCCTTGATGACCTCTAAGACCTCCGTTCTGTCTCTTCTTTTCGAGAATGTTCCTGGAGATGGGACTACACAGACCGTCCCAAACTCTTAACAAACCCGGGAATACTGTTGCTATTATGGATACAATTCCTGCTTTTGCAAAAGAGGAAGGAAAGAGTCAGTGAATTAAACTATCTTCCCCAGGGTTACAGAGGAGACGAGCCTAGAATTTCCCAAACTGTGTTCTTTTAACCAGTCATCACACACGCCCCCAGAAAGGGTTCTGTGTCAAGTTAGCTTTAGAAACGTTATCTGCGTGGAGAGTCTCAGGGCAGGACCACAGCAAAGACCATTTGACTTTGCTTCCCTGAAAGTTTCCCAAACCCATTAGCCCATGAACTCCTTTGGTTCCCCCACAGGAAACTTACCCACCTCTTGGGGTCCTAGGATTTGCCAAGCGCTATTAGGAAAATGGCACTCCAGAAAGCTTGGGTTTCGTTCAAGGAACACTCTGGACCTTCCACAACACAGTACCGTTGAATTCAGATTCAGCCTTTTGCAGAATCATGTTTCTTAAGGTGTACCGTGGGACCATGCTCCTAAATTCTAGATAAGTGGCTGCCTTCCAGAGCCCGTGCATGGATGGGTCAGGGATGTCGTTGGGACGTCAGTGCCCTGGGACGCTCTGTAGCCTCCTTGGGAAATTTCAATTGGAGTGAAGCACCAGAAAATGTTTGCTCTGAGCACAACTACGTCTTCTCATTTTGGTACCAGAACTACGTGTTGCTTTTCCTTCTTGTCATCAGGGGGCGCAGAACCAATGACTGACCCTCTCGGGCTCCTTTATACTCCAATCTGCCGTCCGTGTTTCTCTCTGGTTCCTGGACCTTCGGTTGTAACTTTCACTTTCCCGGATCCTTGTTTCTAATTGTCTCAGGCTAGTTGATTATGTGTACGTCTGTCCATAGGCTCATGTCCTATGGAAACGCAGTGGGATATTTTTAAAATAACAACTTGGGGAGTAGGAAGTGTTCTTGTAGAAGCAAACTGAGGCTATGAGCAAGTCAGAAAGCTCAGAATGGGGAGTGGGTGGGCTGGGAGCTAGGGTCTGAGCAGGGGATGCTTGGGCAGGTCGGGGAGCTGGAGATGATCACCTACTGACCCAACCTTGCTTTCCAATAGCAAACGGAGGGGCCTGAGGACCTCCAGGAGTCCCTGATACCATTCTGCCAGGGACAGGGGTCTGCAGGGGCAAAGTCCTTTTTCAATACCACGAAGACATTACTTGTCTTTTTCTCTCTTGAGCATACACGCTGGGGTGTTTCCACCATAGAAAGGCTCCATCGCAGAAGGCTGAATGTGGAAGCAGAAAGCAGAATCCATCCACCTGTCCTCAGGGAAGCCAGACATTAAACGGATTTGTGATTGTGTGACTTGGCCCACAAAGCATTGTTTCGAAAATGTGTTTTTCATCAAGCATGCCTTGATGGTGAGGGGCTTCTTCTCGTCATTGAACAATGACAATTCTTTTAAATTTTTCTGTTGGGAATTTCTAATATGAGAAATATCAGCAGATAAAAGCTCTTTGGGGGGGGTCCTCCATCAATTTTAAGAGCGTGCAGGTCTCCTGATACCAAAAAGTTTGAGACTCGCTGCTTTGGAACAAACGTTCTTATTAACTGCCTTCACGGTCTTCCAGCTGTCAGTAACTCTGCTCCAGATGCACTTTGAGCTGGTCGTACGGTTTGGGGAAAATCCCTTTTCAGGGTTGGTCAGTGGGTGAAATCCTTTACATTTCCCAAGTTTTACTTTTTTATTTTTTTAAAGATTTATTTATTTGAGAGAGAGAGAACAGACACACGCGAGTTGGGGGAGGGGCTGAAGGAGAGGGAGGGAGGGAATCTCAAGCAGGCTCCCCACTTAGCGCAGAGCCCCGTGTGGGACTTGATCTCACGACCCTGAAGTCATGACCTGAGCTAAAACCAAGAGCTGGATACTTAACCGACGGAGCCACCAGGTGCCCCAAGTTTTCCTCTTTTTGTTTTTGTTAAATAGGGCAAGAACCTTCCAGTCCATGGCTTTTATTGGCTTGTGTTTCATATTCATTCACCAAACACTTATTGAGCACCTACTGTGTGCCAGGCACTGTTCTAGATACCAAGATACAGTTAGGAACAAGACAAGCACAAATCCTCGTATTCTATTACTTCACGGCAAAGCCTGAGGCTTTTGCCCAAGGAGTAAAGACTTAGTCACGGTTCTCTGCGTGTCATGAGAAGCATGGGTAGTGCCTCTGCCTGCGCGGAGTTCCCCCATCTGTGCACGTGCGGTCGGGAGTGAGATGACTTTGGGGTAATGCTGGATACACATGGTAATGTTCGATGCACATGGCATTGAACAACTTAGAATCATACAGTGAGACATCTATTTCCTTCCCAATTTCCTTATAGTTACTTTTTTTTTTTTTTAAAGATTTTATTTATTTATTTGAGAGAGAGACAGTGAGAGAGAGCATGAGCAAGGAGAAGGTCAGAGAGAGAAGCAGACTCCCTGCGGAGCCGGGAGCCCGATGCGGGACTCGATCCCGGGACTCCAGGATCATGACCTGAGCCGAAGGCAGTCGTCCAACCAACTGAGCCACCCAGGCGTCCCTCCTTATAGTTACTTTTTAAAGTTATTTATTTATTTATTTGAGAGAGAGCGAGCACACACACACAAGCAGGGGAAGAGGGAGAGGGAGCAGCAGACGCCCGCTGAGCAGGACCCGGGATCATGACCTGAGCTGAAGGCAGATGCTTAACCCCCTGAGCACCATCCCCCACTTGCCCCTCCTTTCAGTTACTTCAAAGAGAAAACGTCAGATTGGTACTAGTAAGACCCTAACACTTCCTTAAACTTGCGGATTCCTCCTCCTACCCCCTCAACTCCCAAAATTCTCTTTTTCCAAGAATGGGCCGTTGGCGTGAGCCTTCAGCCTCTCTCTAGAATTCAGTAGGACTGGTGTGCACAAGTACCGGATTCTACAGGGGTCCCCGCCCTTCCCCGCGTTCACTATGGCCAACAGGGTCTTAACGCTAATGCGGGGGTTCTCAAAGCGTGGAACCCAGGCCAGCACCATCATCTGAGGACGTGCTGAAAACTGGAAATTCATGGGTTCTCATCTCAGACCTACTGAGTCAGACACTCCGGAGCTGGGGCCCAGCCACAGCCCCCAGCCCGCAGGGGACTCAGATCCTGCTGAATTTGAGAACCACAGCCCCAGGGGGTTCATTCTCGCCTTGGATCAACAGACGGCGGTCTCCGCTGAGTAGACCCAGCTGGCCAGGGCACTTGCGCCCCCTCTTACCATGTCCAGTTGTTTGTGCGTGTCCTCCAGGGACACGGTGGTGGTCTCCTTCAGCTGCTTGCTCACGATCTGGAAGAGGTTCAGCGTCGCCATCTTAATGGTGCCAAGCAAGAGGGTCTTCTTGGCGGCGGTGTTCTGGATGTGAGCCCAGCGAGATTCCTGGGGTTGGGGTGGGGTCAGGAGGTGAGCAGGTGTGCGCACAGGCGTGGGTGGGTGCTCCCAGCCACGCCCCCAGCCACGCCCCCAGCGACGCCCCGACCCGCCCACCCCCACCCCGCGCTCACCCAGATGATGACATCGCTGCGGGCGCGGTCAAAGCGCATCTGCAGCCGCGCCAGCTCGTTGTTGTGCTGCAGGATCTCGTCATCTTTCTCCTCCATGTAGCGTGCCAGCCGCGCCTTGGCGCGCTCGATCTTCTCCTGGCCCTCCTGCGCCGACTGCATCAGGTCATGGTGCATGCTCACCAGCGTCTTGTAGCGCGAAATCACCTCGTGGATCTCCTCGAACTACGACGGGGGCTCCATCAGTGCACTGCCGCCCCCCACCCCCGGGGCCAGATGGCGGGAGTTCCCCGCCTGCCAAACCTCTGTCTAGGGGTCTCAGCCTAGTCGGGAGACCCTGGGCCAAGGCCAAAGGGCAGAGGCCACGAGGACTTTGGAGTCCACCTGCTGGCCCTTTTGGGTTGCTAAGGGCCACTGGGACCTTCTGTTGGGGGCAGGTGCCACTGGAGCTGGGGTCCTCGGTCTGCCTGTTGGCATCGCCTGGGAGCTCTGAAAAGGACACCTGTCTGGCTCCGCCCCCAAGAGTTTTGTGTTATATATATATATTTATAAATATTTTATTTATTTGAGAGACAGCGAGTGAGAGAGCACAAGCAGGAGAGAGAGAGGGAGAGGGAGTCTGACACAGGCCGGATCCCAGGACCCCAGGATCAGGACCTGAGCCCAAGGCAGATGCTTAACCGACCAAGCCACCCAGGTGCCCCAAGATATTCATTTTAATCAACAGGTTCGAGGTGGCCCCTGGCACCTGAATTTTGCATAAAGGGCCCCCGGGTTATTCTAGAAGGTTGCTGGCTGGGGCTCGGGGGTCGGAAGGGTGCATTTTGAGACGTCTCCCAAGGCAATAATGATCCTGTCCAACAAGAACGAATGGAGAACCACTTGTAAGGCAGGCAGTAGGCTAAGTGCGAGGGACAGAGCAGGAGATAAGAAAGCCAGACCCTGCTCTTATGAAGCCTATGACTTGGGATGGTGTGGAGGGAGGACAGACAGACAAGGAAAGCATTACAACACGGGAGTGATAAGCCCTATCGATGACTGGGGAGAGGGGTCTGGTCGAAGAGGTGTGGCAGTATCTTCAGCAGAAGGCTTTCTGGAATTTGCTCACATTTGCTGAGGTCCCCTTCCAGTGGGGACAGGGGATGCCACCAGTGGGGCATGGGGCCTGCCAGGTGCAGCTACCTGCTCCAGCTGGTGCCGGGCCAGGACACTCTGACCTGACCTTGCAAGCCAGCTGTCCTCCGTAGAAGGTGGTGTGAGCGCTGGCCTCTCCATCCATAATGCCTCTGTGGGGAAGGGCCACCCAACTCAGCATCAGAGGAGGTGGGAACAGCCAGGAAAGGTTTCCCAGGGGGAAAGGACGCTGCGCTCAGACCAGAGGTATGAACAGAAGTTGGCCGGCCACGGGCACGTGGGGAAAGGTGAGGACAGGGAGAGGGAGCTGCTGCCTGCAGACCTCGGGGACGTGTGGCACATTCAAGATGCTCAAGGGAGATTTGTATGAATAAACTATGATCAAGATGGGGAGGGACAGATCCATCCAGAGGAAGTAACGATAGTGCCCAGGAGCCCCCAGGGAGAATGTGGACTTCCTTCACTGAAGGAAGAAGAGAAATTACTTGATGTCTGCATTTCGGAAGGTCATCGAGTACACACACCATGCGACAGCGCGCGGCAGTTAAAACGAGAGGAGCCACCAGGAGCACCTGTCAAGGACTTGATGCTGGTCCAGAGGACACAGGCACCAACCAGAAGAGACTCCCACTGTTTAAAGATGGGACACTTTGCATGTCCGAGAGAAAAAGTGCAAACGATCGCACATACCAGATACACCAACCATCCAGGAATTCATACTAATGAATCGAGTGCTTAACAAGCTTTTCTTTTAAGACTCACAAAGTAATCAAACAGCTGGTGAAGGGAAGATTTTCTTGAGGAAGGCTTTCTTGGCCGTAGTTTCCTAGCTAACAGGTGAAGAAGAGACAACAAAACATTCCCAGCACCCTAGAACGGTCCACCAACCCCTTTCAGCTCAGCGTCTGTCCCCACTGCCAAAGAAACCAGAACTGTGGCTTCTATCACCAAAGATCCACCTTGACCCGTTTTTAGATCTATCAGGGCGATCACACCTATGTCCTCTTGTCTGTCTAGCTTCTTTGGATCGGGATCAGAACGTCTGTGATACTCGAGGCACAAACCTAAAACCAACCGAATGCCACGTGGGGACCTTGTTCGGACCCTGATTGGAACAAAACAATTGTATGCAAAGTAGGTATGTAACAGATGAGGGAAGTTTGAACACTGACGACTTGATGTTAAGGAATTACGATCACATTTTTACTGGGTGTGACAATGGTATTGGCCTCATCTTTGAGAGTCACATACTGAAATATGGATAAAAAAAAAAATCATTTGCTTCCAGGTGGCAGAGGTGGGAAGGTCCGGGGGTTGATTTGATGAGTCGATAATTGTCGGAATTAGGCGATGAGTAATGGGCATTCGATAGATGATTCTATTTCTGTATATGTTTGAAATTTTCCATAATGAACAGGTTTGTTTTGTTTTGTTTTGTTTTGTTTTTAAAGAAAAAGTATCCCTGATCAGAAAAAGCAAGTTACGAAGGGGCACGTGCAACACTCTTCATAGTTTATGGAGATGTGCTATGGGACCAAAATAATACCCACACGCGTGAGAATGAGCGGTTAAAAAGTGCGGATGGCGGCCAGCTCCTCGGAGAGGGGAAGAAGGGGGCTTGGAAGGGGGCTGCCCACGAGGGGCTGCAGTTAGCGGTAGTGCCTTATTTAAGAAAAAAGAACTGGAAGCCAATAGGGGGAAATATTAAGAGTTGGCAAGTTGCAGTGGATACCTGGGTGCAATTATGTATTTTTCTATACCTTTCATGTACTCGAAATATTCTAAAAGGCTTAGGGGAAGACGGAAAGCGAGAGGAAGAAAGAGGGGCGGGAGATCACGGTGGGAGAGCGTGGGACAGGCTGGTGGCCAGAAATAAAGGCAGCGTTGAACTCTGGATGAGGGCACTGGGGGTCTGGATGAGGAAGGGGCAGGGGCCGGATTCCAGAAATACTTAGGAGGCAGAATAGACCAGATCTGCTGATTGATGGGCTGTGGAGAGGGAGGAGGGGGAGGAGGTGAGGATGAGGCCCCAGTTCTAGCATTCACAGCGGGGGACACACACCGTGGGAGGTGTGGGGGGCTGCGGGGGGGGGGGGGGGTGCGGAGAGCTGATGGGCTGAGCCCGAGAGTCCAGACCATGGGCATTGGGGCAGGAATCTCAGAGCCAGACACAGGTCAGGCTCCTTGATTGTAAGACACACATTTCCCTAGGTCTGACTGGAGTCCTCTCTCATAATGTACCTGCTGCTTTGAGACGTTGTCTCTGCTCACTCCCCTCCCTGTGCCCCAAGACGAATGAAACTTTTATTGTATAATAGGTACCTTGGCATGGTGCACATAACACGGATTTGGGCTTCACACATGCGTAATTCTAGTTCTAGTATGGGATTTTAAGAGATTAGCTCTGGGACTTCAGAAAGCTATCCATCTTTTGCCCTCCCCCACCGCCCCCCGCTGGCACTGTGCTCAGGACACACCCCGGAGGGCATACCCTGTACCCAGACCTTGCTCTCACCCCCAGCCCCCCCTTCCCGTGAGGGGCCCTGCCTGCTGCTGTCACATGGGAGTGTGGGAGGCCCCCCAAGTTGCTCAAAGAGAAAAGTGAATGGTCAGGGACAAAGACCCGAGGGCCACTGAAGGAAGGAGCTAGGAAGATGAGCCCCACCCCGGCGCCCCCCAGGAGGCTGAGGAGGAAGGGAGGAGGGTAGGAGACAGGGGAGGAGCCCCGAAGAAAGGGCAAAGCTCTGTTTCAAGGAGGACCCCGGCCTGTGCACTGCGCTAACTCTACACTGGGCTGGGTTTCTCTCTCTTCTTGTCACACCTGAAATGATGGGGAGCAGGGGACGGTGTGGCCCAATCTCGCTGCCGGCAAAGCTGGTCCCTGGGGGTCCCAAGCGAAACCTTGCTCCCCCAACACACACACGCAGAGACATACACATGTCACCTGGATGCACCTGCGGACCCCGGAGCCCTGAGAAACAAGCCCAGCCCCCACCCCGCAGGACCCCTTCCCAGCTGTCTGCTCAGATCAGGGTGACTCTCCTGCTCCCCCCCACCCCCCACCCGCCCCTGCTGGCCCCAGGCCCTGGGGCGGTCCCACCCCCGCCCACCCGCTCACCTCCGAGCTCTCCACCACCTTCTCCAGGTACTTGTTGAAGACGGAGTAGTCCTGGAGCCTCCCGCTCAGCCTCTGGTGCTCCAGCCGCAAGGCCGCCATCTCCTGCTTGGCCGTGGCCAGCTCTCGCAGGCGCTGCCTCTTCAGTTCCCGCTCCTTGTTGGCCTTCTTCAGGGCCCGGATCCGTTTCTGGTCGTTCTCCTGGGGCGGGGGCGGGGGTGGGGGAGGTGGCACCCGTGGGACACTGGGCCTGTCCTCCCTCTGTGTGCCGGATTTTCTCCCCGTTTGGTGCTTGGTACTCTGTGACTCAGTTTCTCATTTCTGTAGGAACCAGAGGCCCCAGGGGATGTGCTCCAGCTTGGGGAGGAATCAGGCTGAGGCCAGAGCCGCTGGTGCAGACTGATGTCCTCAAAGAAGGGGCAGTCGGGCCGACATCCCCTTCTTCATTCTGCCGAGCCCTCCCGGCAAGATCAGGGACACACGCACCCCTCGCTACTGTCCCTCTTCAGGGGCTCCCGGGGGGCTCCATGGGTGGAGGACATTGGGAGGCAGGTGGAGAAGGCACAGGGAGGGTTTACACTCCGCCCTGTGAACCTGGCAGAGGACCCAAGGTCCCCTAAACCCCTAAACCCTGGGGAGCTTTTTACAAATGCAGCTGCTGGCCTGCCCCTCAGGTCCACTGAAAGCAGAGTGGCTGGGGGCTGGGTGGGTGGCTGGGGCTGAAGCCCTGTCCCATTCATCTGTGCACTCCCCACGCCCAGCCCCACCTGTCATCTCCCACCCATCCAGTCCCCGAGACACTGCACGTACCCGGGGCACGCGAGAAAATGGTGACCTGCAGTCCAGAAGGGCCCAGACTGACAGGAAAACAGGAAATGACAAACGGTAATGAGCGAGGACATAGAGGGAGAAGCCCCAGGCCTTGCTGAGCCGTGAAGAGGCGCTAACCTAGGGTGAGGAGTCAGCAGGAGCAAGGAGGAGGGGGAGGAGGAAGGGAGGAGGGAGGAGGAGGAGGGGAGGAGGGAGGAGGGAG